GTCTTTGGGTGTCGCCTTATGCCTATTTCCATTTAGATTTAATTCTCATTTACATTTAAATTCAAAGAATTAAACTGAACACAAATTAATTTTGTCTCCAGATTCCTATGGAAAAAGTCTGAAACTTTCTAGAGATAGGTAGAGATGCCCTAGAGCTGTAATTTTTAAGATTTTCTGTCATCCTTTTCTGGGACATGGTTGGGAAGTAGGGAAAAGAGAGGAACATCTGGACCGTTTGGTGAAAAGGTTCTCAGCCTTAAGGATGGCTCAAATTTTAGCCAATTATCTCAATTTCCACCAATTGCACCGGTGGAAAACCGGTGCAAAGGAGCAGTAGGAGTCAGAAGTGTTAGTTTCAGGAATCCAGATCCTCGATATCTTTTTTCTTTTGTGGGTAGGTCACCTTTCAAAAAGTAAACATTTCATTATAGCTTTATGTTCTAAACTTGCAAACTGCTCCATGGTAAAGTTGATTATGTTGTCCTTTGTAATTGCTACAATTTGTATTTGTACTTTTTCATTCATTTTAAATCTAGTTCACATAAAATAGAAATATTTTATACTCCAGTAGTGTTTACCTTCTTTTGGTCAGCTCTGAAATATCCATATACCTATAGATCTATATCTAATCTATTTTTAATTTAATTACGCCCAGTTTTACTTGCCATTACTTCTCAATTGCATGCTGAATTTAGTTTTTATTCAGAAAACATGCAAGTAAAAAGTAACAATGTTTAAATGTAGATTGTGTTTCACACAGTTTTGTTATACTATTAACAAATAGATTATATATTATAACATATATAATATACTGTAATATAGATTTTTGATGAATTTCTTTATCCCAAAGTTCACCACTAGATCTTATCAAAAATCTCTTGACCTTAGTGTTGGTTAAATCTGAGGATTGCTCTGGGGATCCAGCCGTGATGGAGCATGAAAACCTGCCAGCTGCCCCCAGGAAGCTTCTCAGAGGAGGGGGATCTTTCATTATTCTCTCCAGCAACCCTCCCACTCCAATAAAAATTCTCTTATATCAGTGGCAGCCAAATAGCTCTTAATCATGGTAGGAGAAAGTTGTCTGAACTGCTAGAATTTCAGGTAAAAATTAAGCAATATGGGAGTTAGCTATCCTAATTGCTCTATTTCAAGCAAATGTGTTCACAAGGGGCACTTTGGGTGGGGCAGCCAATGTGGAGCCAACTGCCTTACAGTATGTTGAGACTGAGTAAGAAGCACTATCCGAATGGAAGACACACATCTTGTTGGACTGCTTGTTTCCCTTATTATTGCTTTTTAACTTTCATTTTGAAATAATCTGAGATTTACAGAAAAACTGCAAAAATAGTACTGAGAGTTCCTGTATTCACCAGTTTCCTCTGATGTTAACACTTTATATAACCACAGTATATTTGTCAAAACTAAGACATTAACATTCACACAATACTATTCACTACACTACAGAATCTGCTTGGATTCCTACTATGGTGTTTAAAACTTTTAATTAAATGCTTTTTGAAAAATATGGTAGTATTTAGCTGAAAGGTGAAAGTCCCTATTCTCTACCCTCCCCTTCAAAATTTCTTCCCAGTCACACTCCCCATGAATAATCAGTGTTATTTACCCTTCTAGACCAGCACTGTCCAGCAGGAATACAATGGTAGCTACATAGGTGATTATAAATATTCTACTGGCCACATTCAGAAAAGTAAAAAGAAGTGGGTGAAATTAACCTTAAGAATATATTTATATAATTTGATCCATTTAAAGTTTTATCATTTCAATGTAGAATGAACATAAACATTAATGAGTTACTTTTTATGTAATATATTTAGAGCACATTTTAATGCTGACTAGTCATGTTTTAAGTGCTCAATAGACACATGTGACTAGTGGCTGCAGAATTAGCATAATTGTAGAACATACTCTATTATCTCTATTGCTGTATCTCATATACACACTCAGATGCACCACTGTTAGCTACTTTCCCCCCCACTATTTATAGAAGGCCATCAGTCCATGTCAGAATATATGGGACAACACCTTTCATTAAGATAGGTATGTAGTATTAAGTAGAACAAAGTGCATAATCTATGAAATCACTTCCCTATGCATAGCTATTTAGTTTGTTTTTTTTCCATTTCCAATAAGGCTGCAAAGAACATTCTTTATACAGAACCTATGTGCATTTGTGTACTTCCGAGGCATAGAGTTGTAGGTATGGAATTGCTGTATCAAAGGATGTGATCATATTTGAAGTATTGTGACTATATAGAACAATAACATAGTTTTAAATAAATATGCCAGTCAGTATATTCCTAAATGTATACTACCCTTCTCAAGGCAGTCATTTAAAAAATCTGTTCCCAGCAATGCTCCTTTCACTCAAAATAATTGGATTTTGTTCTTTGAAGTTTGACTTAAGAACCAGTTTAAACTAAAAATACTTAGACCAAGTGACTGTCATAGGCCTTGTTTCTTTGTAATCAGTTATTATTTATTCTGTCATTCGTTTCCTTCCTTCCTCCTTCCCTCTCTCCATCTCTCCCTTTCTTCATTCCATCCCCTCACCCAGCCACCCACCCACTCATCCACCCACTCATCCATACAAGAAATAGCTTCCTAATTGGTACCCCCCATTGATTTTTGCTCTTCTAATAGTCCATTCTCATACAGAAGCCAAAGTATTTTCTCTTTCTTATTTAATATCATCAACCAGTTCCAATTACGCTGTTATTTAAAACCTTTCAGTAGCTTTCCTTGGGACTGGATTCCTTCTCAATTCACCAAAACTCCTTATTCTCTCTGTTTCAGTTACACTGGTCCCCTTTCTGCTTTGAGAACAAACCAAGTTCGTTCTGGTCCCAGCACCATTCCAGTGGAGTCATTTCCATCTTGGAACATTTCCCTCAGACTGGGCACAGCTGCCTCTTTCTCATCTTTGAGTTTTCTGTTTAAACGTTATCTAAGAGCTTTCTCTGACCACCCTGCCTAAAGTACCTGCCTGCCCATCTCTAGTCCAGTTTATTTCCTACATAATTTGTTGGAATCTGAAATTATCTTGTTCACTTTGTTTTTGATGTGTGATTTGTCTCCCCCAAACCTCAACTAGAAAATAAACTCTATCATTATTCATCTTTATCCCAGATGCCTAGTACAATGCTTGACTCATAGTGGGCACTAAATAAGCATTTGTGGACTGAATGAATGAATATTCTTGCTATATTGCAAACTCAAGCTACCATACCAGTGCCACAAATATAAAGATTCATAAGTTTTTCCTCCAAGAAAGTCAGAGTCCATCAGGCTAGCCCAATATTAAAGTAAATGATTACAATAAAAGGCAATAAGAATATAGCAGACCTGTTTCTGGAAATACTATCTCTTGTCTTTACCTTAATTTAAAGCTATAAAGTTAATTTAATGCTATAAAATTCCAAGTCACTCTCATAGAATAAGGACGGCCTGGCATATAGCAAGTACTCAGTAAATATTAATTAGGTGAATCCATGGAGTGATTGTAACTCCAGTGGGGTTGGGGGTGTGCCGGTGGGAAATAAGTTCCCAGCCCAGGGAAAATTACCTTTGAAACCAAAATCAATCAAAGGGAGAAATAAAGTGGAAGAAACTTGTTTATTCCTTACAAGCAGTCCACTTCTGCTCTCTCGTGTCTCTTGCAACCCAGCTGCAAAAAGGGATCCCACCCAACCTCTCTGGTCCAGATATGTCCTTACTCTCCCTTGTAATCACCTACTGATATGGAGATTGACTACTTCTTTTCACCACTTGGAAACACCTATTGATATATGGAGATGCACTAAGGCCAGGTGGGAGGTTCTGGAAATACTGCAGTTTTATCCACAGCCCCCTTGTCTCAGCTTCCCTACCAGAGAGGAACTCCAAACATGTCCACATTCCCATGACTTTTCCATGTGGATACATTTGCATATGTATGTTGCCATTTTATCTCAGTGTTTTTACACAACTGGACTGCTATGAAGTGATTGTTGTGTGAATTGTTTTCTTCCACCTACTATTTCTTGGAAACAGTGCCATGTGAGTAAACCAATAAAATGTTGACACTCTTTAGCAAAGTATATCATTAAGGAGCAGAGGGTTTTGTTGACCTTGTTTAAAGTCTCAATGCCCACCACCAACTCAGTGCCTTGACAAGTGTTTTAAGGCTTAGAGCATATTTTGTATAATTGCTACTGGCACAGGCAGCTGAACTTGGTGGCTGGGTCCTTTGGTGCTCTTGGCTTGGGAGAGCATAGTCCTTCAGAGAAACACACAAACCCTATTGAGTAAAAGCCCAAAGCTGTTAAGTCTCTTTGACCCACCCACCTTCCCTAAAAATAGATGTGGAGGGAATGTTTCATTTCATGGTAATGCAACAAGGCACAGATTAAAAAGGAAAATTTTAATCCAAAAACAAATCTGTGATGCTGGCAGTGTTTTTAAATAGACATCTCATTTTGGTTTCAGAGGGATAAAAGGGGACCCATAATCTCAAAATTTCTTGGGGAAATGTTCTGCCAGATGCAAGTGGTGCCCTCTGGCTGTGTGAGCAGGAGCTCTGCTCATACCCAGTTTTCTGACATCCTTGTCATACCCGACTTTGAAACCCTGGGTCTCATCTATGACCTGATGATGAATGTAAATATTATATTGGGGCACAGTATGGCTTTACTTGTTTTTTATTAAAGGTGGCAGCTTGTTTCCCTAAACTTCCTAGGACAGAGACTCTAGGTTTGCTTTGTTTGCTAGAATGTTCCACTGCTTAGCCAGGCATGCTCAAATATCAGGTGAATAATGTTTGTTGAGTGACAGGATGGTGGAGTAGGAGCAGACAAGCCTGCTATCACTTCCGCATCTGCCCCAGGTGATTTCAGTGGGTCTCATGCTCTTCCTCTTTTTAGTCTCAGTTTATTCATCTGTAAACTGAGGGGGTGGCCTCAGGTAGTTTGATTTCCCTTCACATGTAAGTAGTCTCAAAGTCTATATGACTTCTCAGGCCTGGGGTCTGAATTAAAAATCAAGATCCTTGTTGAAACTTTTAAAAAGTATTCTAGCAGAGAACTAGAAAAAGTATTCTAGTATTCGAGCCCACCAATATCTCTATAATCTATTTAAGTTAGTGGATCAAATCCAGCAAAAAAGAAAGATAGTCTGACTGGATAATTTGACTTTCAAAGACATTTCCCAATCTTCTTATGTAAAGGTGTGGCAGAAAGATAAAGAATGGAATTCTGGGAAAAAGTTGTCTTTATCCATAGAAACCTTTAGAGGAAGAATCGGTGACATACCCCAGGAGCAGCTGGGAACCTGCCGCCTCACCTGCTGGTAAGTACAGTCCCCTGCAAACCTATGCTGAAGTGGAAACTACAACTTCACTGCCTGCACTTGCTCAGTATTATATGGGATATTAGGGCAGTGATGACTGAGTCAATAGAAATTAGGGAAAATTCACACAAAATAGAGGTCTTTGGGTTTCTTGGAGTTAGAATCTCATTTAAATGTAATCACAGACTTACATGTCTGAGTTGTTTAAGCTTTTCTGGGGCAACATCAGGGAGAGGAATAGTGTTCGTTTGCAGGAAGCCGTGTTTATTCAGGCTTGCCTGAAAGTTGTGTGACTGCTGAGTCAGCGCATACCTGTGTGGAGCCTCCCCTCACCTGTGAAATGAGTATTACATGGTAGTATGGAAATGGGAATATGTGTGACTAGAACACAGCTACATTAGCAGTTTTGCTCCTTGAATTTTATAATTTGTAAAGTAAAAATATTTGTAAATCTGAAAAAAAAGCTAGTTGTATAAAGTATGATTAATGTTCAGTGAAGGAAGAGACCTAGTATTGGCTTCTGACTTTGGCAGATGTGGTGGTAGGCTCTTGGGTGTTAGAAACTAGTGAGCTTTTTTCATAGAGAGCAAATGTATATGGTTTGGTTTGGTTGGAGTTTTGTGAGGCCTTGGGTGGGAGGGTGTGGTCTGTTTGGGAAGGTGGGCAGCTTTCAGAGTTTGGACTTTAGCCCTGGGAAGCCACTGAATGCTTTGAAGGTGGGGTTGGATTGTTTAGGGAGCTGCTTGAGAAGATAAAAAAGTTAGGCTCAGATGTGGATACTCTTAGTCCTCCCCCATAGCCTACAGTGGCAGGCAGGTAGAGAACATCGGCCTCTTGGGCTGATCTCACGTTCAGGACCCCCTACCTTCAGTGGCGTCTTAGGGTGACCAGATGGACATACATTAGTCGATTTTCTCTTATGATAAATGCCACCCCTAATCATGTCTAAGTGACATCCCCTACTTGGGCACTGGATTCCATCCCATTGCTTCACAAAGTTTTCCTCTCCTAAATCAACTTTTTCTTCCTCCTCTGGATCATCTCCAGATCATACAAATGTATTTCTATTTTTAATTATCTTAAAAAACTTACTCTTGCCCCTGCTCCCCAACTCTCCCTTTCTTTCTTTTCTTTTTGTGCTGCAAAACTTGAAGAGTTTCCTGTCTCCAGTTCTCCCTTGACTCCCTTTCCTTGTGAACTTTCTTCTGAGGTGTACCACACCCAGGAAAAGTGACCAGTCACTCAGCTGTCCATGGAGTCCCTTTGTCAAGGCCATTCATGATTCCCACGTTGCTTAGTCATATAGACAAATCTCCTGTCCTGCCTTCGCAACAACATTTCATTTGTGATCATTGCTTCTTCATTGATGCATTTGCTTTACTTGTCTTCCAGGACATTTACATTTTGATTTTCCTCTACCTCCTTCCCTGCTTCTATGTGTATGTTCGTGTCTCTTCCAATTCAGCCTTTTGTGGAACAAAAGCCCCAGGGCCCAGTGCTTAGCCACAGGCATTCCCTTGTGCTTCTCCAGGCCCTTAACTTTAAAATGCCATTTCTGTGCCAATGACTCTCAAATATATATCTTTGGCTCAGACTTCTCTCCTGAACTCCAACAGTCTCCACTTGGGTGTCTAAAACATCTTAAAATCAACATGCTCAAAATCCAGAATATTTCCTCCCACACCTGTGTTCTGTGCAGCTTTCCCTGTCTCATTTGGTGGCAGCTGCAGGCCTTCCACTTGCTCAGGCCACAATCCCTTTGTGTCATCCTTAGGCTCCTACTTCTCCCATCCCATAGGGAATCCTGGGATGTCTCTTTCAAAACATCACACAGCTGACTCTAAGGAGTAGTGACTCAAGGAGGTTGTACAGCTCAAATTAAAAAAAAAAATCCATTGTGCATTTGGGAGGCTTTAGGACACAGGGGAGGTGCTCATGGGAGATGGGCTTGTCAGAAAATGCAGCCCTATGGGTTGTACAGTTATTTAGCATCTCAGAGCCATGGTTCTGGGTCCCTGTCTTGGCTCTTACTCATTATTTCTTCACAATACCCTCTGCCCCTTTCCTCATTCTCCAACTATGAGCCTCATAGGTCACTTTGTTTAGGGATTTCCTCCTACTCCTCCCTGGCAAACCCCCAGGCAATGAATGATCTCTCTTCATGCCTTCCTGCTCCCATTAGTTTATTTAATCAATATTGATTGGGTTCCTTAACATGTTTCAAGGATAAAGCAGAGAAGAAAAGGGAGGAGCTCTGCCTTAAAGAGGTTCATGGTCTGGAATTGAGTGCTGTCCACAGAAGCCATGTATGGCTATTTAAATTTAAATTAGTTAAAATAAAATTAAGTGAAAGAAATGTTTTTAATTTCTCAACCATGCTAGCCAGACAGGTGCTCAGTCATCACAGGTGGCTAGTAGGTAGTAGATTGCACAACAGCCATGTATTGGAAAAACTCCATTACAGACAGTTCTCTAGGACAGCTCTGTAAGAGAGGGAAGAGAGATGGACCACACACACACACGCACACACACACACACACACACACACACACACACACACACACACACACACATATATCAAAGGAAATGAGGTAGTAAATGATGCATAGAGAATGAAATAGAGTGTGATACAGATAGTGACTGATTGGCTATTTTAGATAGAGGGGATAGAGGAATGTCTGAAAAGGGAATATTTAAGTGGGAATTGGAAGGAAAAAGAGAACTGTAACTGCTTGGGGTAGGAATGGGGATCCAGGCAGAGAGCCCTGCTAGGGAAAAAACCCTAAAACAGGGATGCAATTGGAAGAGTCCTGGGTGGCTGCAGTCCTGTGGGCTGGGAAGAGAGTGGTAGGAATCTGAGAGGTGGGAGGGGCCCGATCACTGGGTAAATCTGGCTCAGGCATTAGGACTTTTTTTCCTCAGAGAGCCATGGGAGGGTTGTCAGTGGGGGAGGGCACGGTCTGATTATATATTTACCATATATATCATTCTGCCTGACTTTATTAGTTAGTTGCTCACTCTCCTGTGTCTCCGCCTGATTGTACAATTCTGGGTTTTTTCATTCTTAGTCTATTGAGTCATGCCCTGTTAGCCTCAATATATTAGTAGTAACTTTGGTAGATTTGAATTAGATGAGAAAATCCTTATCACTGACCTCCTTGGGCTTTGGCTGAGTCTGAGATTTTGTCTCCCAAGTGAATAAGACATAACCTACTTCTGTGTGAGGCATTGCAGAATTTGTCCCCTGGCCTCTGGTGGGGACATAATGTCCCCAACAAATGAATAAAGACAGAGAATAAGAAGAAAGCAGGTATCCAGAAATGTGCTTATTCCTGGGTAGAACTCAATCTTGTTACCCAGTTGAGTTCAAGTGCATGGCATCATAAAGCTAGGAGGGCTATTGAGGGTCATATGGTCCAACCTCTTCATTTTATTGAAGAGGCCAATTTCAGCAAACAGGCTAGGAGACAGCCTGTGTGAAGGCCCAGAGACAGGACTGAGCTTGTGTTCAGGGAGGTGCAGCAAGGCCTAGGGTGGGGATCTCATCCAATCAAGTTCTTCCTTAGACACTGAAGCCCCTCAGGCAGAGCTGGGGTAGGGGTAGGCTGGAGAGGGTGCCCTCTAAGGAGGTAGGATGATGTGATACAGGTCATGTGTTAACATCTACTTTTATTTCTCAAAGCAGAAAAACTGAGTTCTCATGTAGACTCTAGATTTTTAAATTTTGGCTGTTAAGAATTAAATTTTTAAACACTATGGTACAAAGCACTTCTGCAGGCCAAATACAGTCTTTGGGCCACCAGTTGGCAGCATCGGGCCTTCGGTTTCTTCCATGTGTGGAGGCTGCTGGAGCCAGGGGTTTGCATTCCCGGGCAGTGCGGGACCCAGGGCCACAGTGTGCCGAGGCCCTCCTCCCCTCCTCCGGGAAGCCTGTCACAGGCTGCAAGAAGGCTAGAGAGGGAGCGCCAGTGCCTCCCTGGGAGGAGGTTACTGAATCTTGAGACCAGAGGGGAGTTAATGAAGTACTAGGCAGGCTTGCACATGTTTGTATGGTTTAATGATTAAGAGCAAAAATCAGAAGATCTCATCTGGAATCTAGACTCTGAACCTCTCCAAGCCTCAGCTTCCTCCACCATGAATGGGGTTAGTGAAAGCATCTTCCTAAGTAGTTCTGTGAAGACTGAATGCACGTGGGGGCTTGGCACAGAACCTGCCACACAGTACATTCTCCAAAAACCTTAACTAGCATTAGTGCATATTTAGGTTTCATTTTCACAGTTCTCCCATAGCCCTTTTGTTCATTGTAACAATCCTTTGAGGTAGTCCAAGCAGTTGTTTTTAATGCACTTTTGCAAATAAAAGGCTTGAAGGAGCACAGTAATTCACAGAGATACCCAGCTTGGGAAGTGGCAGAGCTTGGATCTGAACCCAAGTCTGGTCCAGACTCTGTTTCCTGGAACAGTCTCCTGACATCACTCGGTAAGATGTTGTCTTGAGTCATTGCTTCCTGTAGCATGAATGGTCAGACACAGTGACTCATATTCTTGCTTAATTTTTGCTAATGGCAAACTTGATACTAAGATTGAGTCTGGGGACTCCCCACTGTGGCCAAAGAGCTTGAGCACCCTGCACTCACTAAAGGACCGGTTGACTCCATCTCAGAGACTGAGGGTAAATGCACCTGGGCCACTGGAAGACTGGTCTTTGCTCTGGTGTTCTCCTGTGGAGCCTTCCTCTGGTTTCCTTCCTGTTTGCTTCCTTATCCCCTGTATCAGCACTAGGAGTCAATTTGGACTCTGTGTGCGGAGGGAGCTGGGATATAAGGGACTGCTCTGAGGGCGGCTTTACCTTCAGCTGGAAGGTACGGAGCCCTCTGCCACCTGGAGCTAGTGGACCTGAAGCTGTTGTGCTGGTCTTTCATCCTTAGCAGGGCAGACTCATGTGATTTGCCCAGTTAGGGTGAAAGGAGAAGTTGCAATCTGAGAATTAAGACTTGTTCCCACACCATCTGGTGGAGAGCACGGAAACCAGTCTGTTTTCTCTTTCCTTCAGGCCATACCGCCATGCATCCTTGGGTAGCCATCTCAAGCTTCATACTGCTTCTGACAGGTAAGTGAGTACCTGGGCTAGGGTTTGGAAGCCCTGAGGATGGGGGAGCATAGGATGTGTGCACGGTGTGGTGCAGGAAGATGGATGTGCTTGGGTTTTGTCGGACAGTAATGGATCAACTTGTGAACAAAAAACCAGACTGAACTCTCATTCCAAAGGAGTTGCTAAAATGCTGTGAATTACAAAATCCATGGGTAAGGGAACAAGGCATGATGCAGAACAGTGTGTCAGATGCTGCCATTTGTGTTTAAACAAAAAAGGGGTGGGTAGATAGTTATGTATGCATGGACTAATCAAGCATATGTAAGAAATAGCAAAGTATTACCATAGGGTGGGAAGGGATGTGGAGAAGTAATGGAGATAGGGTAGAAAGGGGACCAGTCCCTCGTTGAACCATTTTGTGCCACTTGATTTTTTTTAATGATGTACAACTATTTCTTTTACAAATAAAATATTCTAACTCAAAATATTCTGAGATGGAGAAAATTTTAAGAATAGACATAACCCAAAATTTTAAAAACAATAATCTCTAGAGGTCAGATTATAGGGAGAAGTTCATTTTTTATTATAATTTGATATTATAATTTCTGTAACTTAATTTATGTAATTAGCATGTAGTGTATTTGTTATCCTAAGATGGTATTAAGCAAAATTAAATATAAGATTTCCATTGAAAAAGTGTACTCGTATTTAATGTAACAGTAAGCATTTCCCAAACTCATAGCCAATTCTAAATATGATTAGTTAGTGAATCTTAGACTTCTTTTAAGGACCACTTTGACTGCATTTGGCAATATAGGGTTTTAATGTGACTGGCACAGGAGTGTTTTTGTTTTGTTTCTGTTTTTAAGTGACATAAGTACTTGATTGAATATTCTCCAATTCTCTGGTTTCTCTGGGGGAAATGGGCCTTGCTTAGTTGCATGCTGTCATCAACTTGTGGGAAGGGACCCCTGTTTGGATTTTTTGGGACCAATCCTAAAGCGTATGATAAGCCTCCTCAGTTCCTTCTGGAAGTATTAGAAAGACATTTTCTAAATGGATTTCTGAAGAGTTTACTAGACTTCTGCCTTAAAACCAACAGTTTTCCATTAACAAAATGATAGCTTTGCTTTTTTTTTTAAGAGAGAGGTGTTGTGAGGTGACTTCATTTGCAATAGTAGCTCAAAAAATTGCAGCAAAAATTAAAAATTTAAATGCAATAGAATTTAAAAAAAAAATTTCTGTTGATACAGTAATTGAATCTGGGAGAGTGGAAAAACTACATGTCTGTATTACCTATTTAATAAGCATATGACTGTCAAACACAGGATGAAATACATGCTCATGTATTACTGGAATGTCATTTGGCTTAAACCTTTTAGAAAGAAATCTGGCCCTATTCATTAGGAGACTGACAATATTGCTGCCCCTTACGCAGTGATTTCTCTCTGAGAAAGCTATCTTATTAGTCCTAAATACAGAAAAAAGCTTAAATTATGTTTTACTTGCTAATAACAAACAATAATGCTGATAAAGAATATATAAACATAGGTAATGCTAATAATCTTAAAAATTCAAGATATGAGATTCAATCACATGATTGCAAAAAATACTATGTAAAAAGTAAAAGTGAAAATAAATGTAAAATTAACATCTCGAGGCCCCATGTTCTGTTCTCTCTTAATGTGCAGATGCTGTAGTTTCTGATGCACTAGTGAGTGGAGTGGTGGGCCAGCCTGTCACACTGCCCTGCACCTACTCAACAGCTAATGGAGTCACGACCATGTGCTGGGGCCGAGGCACATGTCCTAGTAATCTATGCTCAGACGAACTTGTCTGGACTGATGGAACCCATGTCACCTTTCAGAAGCACACACGTTATAAGCTGGAGGGAGACCTTTTGGAAGGGAATGTGTCTTTGACCATAGAGAATGCAGTCCAGGCTGACAGTGGCCAGTATTGTTGCCGTGTTGAGCACCGAGGGTGGTTTAATGATATGAAACGTACCTTATCATTGGAGATAAAGCCAGGTGAGCTCATCTTTTCTTCCTTTGAACACTTTTATGGGTTAACCAAGATGTCTACTGTTTGGTAGTAATTTTCTCTTTGTTTAATAAGGGAAGGGGAGGTTCCTACAAATCTTGTTTTCCATTAACCAGTGGGAAATACAAGAATGTTTATTTCTGGAGAATGAAGTGTTAAGACCAACCTTGATTCAAGACAATAGGTTCGAGAATCTTCCCAGTCAGCAAGCTCTCTCCTACAGCAGTGCTTCAAAAATGCTTGCTGGGTGATGAAAAACCATCACTCTCCATTATGAAATACAGTGAACATTTTTATCAAGCTGAATTTATTCAACTTAAAGAACTGCCCCTGAGAAATTGTATCTTAGAAGAATTGTTAAATGTCCTTAACATTTTAAAACTCTTTCAGAAAATTTCAAACTTATTACATTGCTACTATCAGGTACTGTTGAGTAGTTCCACCCAATTGGAAAGTAGCCTTCCCACCTGCCAGCTCAATCCTGTTGCATATCCCTTGTATGAGCATCTATGATTCTGCCTCTTCCCTCTGCCCTCTGGATTTTTTGAAGCATGTCTCACATCATATCACAAAATTGCTTGCTTAAAATTGAAAATCTTTTTGCAATATGAGAACATTTGCATCCCAGTAACTGTTTACCAGTTGCTTTTAAGAATTTCATGAAATCCAAAAATCGTGGAAGTTTATGTACATTTTTCCATTTTGATTTAGACATCGTAATTTTCCTAAGTGATGAAAGGAATAGGTTCCTCAGGATTTCCTAGTTTCTGGTACCCTTCCCTAATGAATACCCTTCCAGGTCATTCATTGGATAGAACCCACTACCTGTGGCTTTAATAAGCTATGTCTCTTTTGTTTTTAATTGAAGAGGAACTTGATTTTGCAGTCTCTCAATTTTTGGATTCAGCTGTTTCCTTTATGAAAGCAAGGAAAAAAGTTAACTCTGATGAATAAAACAGCTGACTATGGGGAAACTATATCTGGGAGGCAATTTAGGGAAGCCAGGAGAGGGTGGTGATACACTGTGCTATAGACAGATGTGAGGAGTCATCGTGTGGAGAGAAGATTATGATTACAACGTTTTGGGAATTGTGAAATTTTATTATCGGTGTGGCTAATTTTTTTAATGACATAGAAAGAAATTAGCAGGAGACCTTATAGGGATTAGAATTCTTTAATAGGCAGGTATTTACAAAGGCAGGGCTCTGTCCAGTGGGAAGTGGGTCCATAACTGAGCCAAAGTACCTTTGCCTCCAATAACCAATTCTTTGCTTAAGTTTTTTGCAGTTTTCACAGTCCAAGCTTACTCTTCAACCTTCTGTTAGGGCTCTTCCTCACCAGCGTCTACCCTTATAGTTTCCTAGCTTCTTTCTGAGGAAAGTCCTTACCACTGAAGAAGACAAGTTCGTTAGACAATCCTATTAGGTTTTCTCTTTGTTTCCTTTATGCTCCTTTGATCATATTTTTTGCATGCTTGCTTTTTTCTCTATATTAGAATTTAAACACTGAGGGAATGGATTGGATTATTCTCTTCTTAGAAGCCTCTTATAGACTATATGTTAGATGGGGTCAGCAAAATAGAGCCCCAGGGACTGATCAGATTACAAAACAGGCTCACAGTCTGTTTTATAAATAAAGTTTATTGGAATAGCCAGACCCATTTATTATGTGTTGTGTATGGCTCTTTCACACTCTCAGATTTGAGCAACTGCTTCTGAGACAAAAGGGCCCTCAAACCCTAAAACATCTACTATCTTGGCCCTTTACAGGAAGTTGCCTCTGCTTTAGACTAATGCCTTGCATGTAATAGACACAAATATTTGTTGAAAAAACATTTTTTTCCTCTTCAAGACAAAAGTTGGCTAGATTCCAAATTAAGTTAGATCTCTCAAAGGGAAGTGCTTCAAACTTCAAAGCAATTGGCCCTTTTCTAAGGGACCTGAGGTTTTCTTTTAATAGTAGAGTTGAGATTTAAAAAAACTTCTTGCAGAAAAAAAAAGGGACTTGGTGAGATTAAAAAGTATTTATTCTTGATTCAGTCCTTCACTGGTCTGCTTTTGTGCCAGGTACTGTGTTAAGGCTTAATTCTAGTTCCATTGCTCTCTCTGGGTAGCTCTGAGACCTAGTAAGTGATATAGAATCCTACACTGCATCTGACTCTGGAAAGAGTCAAAGTTATCACCTGTTGTGATTATCTCTTAGGTGGGAAGGAAGCCTAGAAGATCTAGTCCACCTTCTAATCACAAATATAAATCATCTGTGTGATCCAGCATGTGCTAATGGGTGTGAGTTCATCCTCATTTAGGATGCGAGGCCTTTGGGAGGGTACCCTCAGGAATGACTGAATCCAGTGCTATTTATTTGGTAAATGTTCTAGTCCTGGGAACTACTGTTCTAAGTCTTGTCCCTCACTACTAAGAGGATAAAGACAGCTGCAGGCTCTGCTCACAGATAGCTTCCCACCTCACAGATGTTTATGAAGACACATAAATCTGATATGTATGAGTGGTCTTTTCAAAGTGCTTGAAGGCAAATCCCAGGTGCCATTTTTCACCTACAAACTCCCCCACCCCCACATAATATGTACTTTTCAGTACAGCTGTTTCCTTTTTGCAAGCGTGTCTTCAAGCCCTCCCCTGACGCAGATTCTAGGTGACCAATGACAGGAAGTCTGAGTTGAGGGGAGGTTAGTACCCAGTTCTGCCTGGGGACACTGTCTCATTGGTTGGATTGGTGTGCAGGTCCAGCACAAGGCTTCTGTTTCCTGCTGCTTGATTATCCTGCTGCTTGATTAATCCTTGCTTTCACGTTGATTTCTAACTCCAGCTGAGGTCACCCGTGTTCCAACATCACCTAGGGTTTTTACCTCCGCTCCTCCAATGCCTGCACCCACACAGAGCCTCCAACCAGGTAAGCAGATGTGTTTCTGAGCCCAGAGGTCATCAAATGATAGGCTGTGTTAAGGCAGAAGCACAATCTAGGATAAAGGTTCTTACCTGGGTTCCAAACATGAGCTTCATAGGGTCTATGAGCCCTCAGTCCCAAATTATATGCACCTTTTGTGCAGAAAATCATTTTCAGTGTGAGGGGACCCATAACTTTTTGTCAGAATCCCAAAGGCATTCATTATTAGCCAAAANACACCCAACATGTAAAGAATGGAGGAGGAGAAATAAGAAGGGAGAGAAATAAAGAATCACCAGGCAGTGTTTCTAATAGCTCAATAAGGGAGTTAAGTTAAGCAGTAAGATACTAAAGAAGGTTACCTTGAACCTTTGGCAACCATGAATCTAAAGCCAGGATTGGCAATAACTACATATCTTTCAATAATCACCCTAAATGTAAATGAACTGAATGCACCAATCAAAAGACACAGAGCAATAGAATGGATAAAAAAGCAAGACCTGTCTATATGCTGCTTACAAGAAACTCACCTCAAACTCAAAGACATGCAAAGCCTAAAAGTCAAGGGATGGAAAAAGATATTCCATGCAAACAACAGGGAGAAAAAAGCAGGTGTTGCAGTACTACTATCAGACAAAATAGACTTCAAAACAAAGAAAGTAACAAGAGATAAAGAAGGACATTATATAATGATAAAGGTCTCAGTCCAACAAGAGGATATAATCATTATATATATAATATATAATCATATAATCATATATATATATCATATGTAATATATATAATCATATAATCATATATATATATCATATGTAATATATATAATCATATAATCATATATATATATTATATGTAATACATATAATCATTATAAGTGTGATTCAATTGTATTTTATAACCTGGAGAACTGAGGCAGACTCTTAAGTTCACTGTTAAAGTCATATGGATAGAAACTGGTTCAGTCAAGCTTTGTCTCCATGAACTCGAATTTGGGGACTGTGCTTTAAACTACTGGATCATGCCTTCTATCTTGAGCACTGAGCTTAATGTTTGGATGAATTTATCCTGATCTGACATCCTCACTGAAAAAAACCTCTATGCAAATACCCTGTCTTTTCAGGGAAGTCAGTGACTTACACAATTTCACTTCTAGCATCTTTTAATTTATTTATGTAGCAAGGAAATTGCAAAATATGCTATTTATACTGATGAAAAAGGAAACATCATATTTAAGGACTTCAGGGATTTAGAACTTACACATTTCTTTTTCTCAATTCAGACTACATGGTTCATATCTCAAATTTCCAATAAATAAGAGTTTAGCTTTAATACAAATGGGGAATAACTTGATTTATAGGTGGGAAATAGCTTGAATTCTGAGAACAAGTTAAAGTTCAAACCTTCTATTTCTAGGATAAAAAGCTAACTTTTAGTGGAGATTCTCAAAGCCTGTAAAACTCTTTGACCCCCTTGAGGTGGCTCTGGATTCTGAAAACTTACAGAGATGTCACAACCTGTTAGCCAGAAAAATATGATGGAACATATTGATTTCCCTTGACTCCCTTTGAACCATGTGTATATTTAACTTGGAGGGATCTGAAGGATTGGGCTACGAGCTGAGTCTGCAAGAAAGGGCCTTAGGTTAAAACTAGGATTTTAGAGCCATAAAAGTTTGCAATATAATCAGCTGGATACACTAGAGAATCTGTTGACCTTCTCAATATTGATTTTGCTTCTTAATACTTAGTTTACGCCTGCACAGGTAGATGGATTAGTGGACTTGGTGAACGTGCATAAGTTTGTTTAAGTCAGAGATGCAAAAGAGAAGTGTTGGTTTGTGTGCCCATGTAACCTCATAAGGGATAATATTAATTGAGCCTTACCCTTATCCTGATGGTCTCCTAAAGAGTTTGAGTTCAGAGTTGAACAGGAAGGAGGTGAACACTGGAACAGATCCAACACAGGGACATTTGTCTTTACATCTACCCCAGTGCCTCTTGTATATGCTAGTTGCCTAAAATATTTATGGAATGGTTGGATGTAAAGTTGTAGGAATGGAGGAGAAAAGAAAGATGCCCCCAAAGACCCCAAACTTAGGAGAGAAGTTAAGACCAGATCTAAGTTGGATAAAGACTCTGGTCATCTGATTTTCTTGCATTGTCCTGTTCTTAGTGCTTAAACAGAGCCACAATAGAGGGAAACAGAAAGACAATTCAGAACATGAGAAAAGGTGATGCTGAAATGTGAAGCCCATGGTGGGGAGGGGAAAACAGAAAAATAAGTGAGAGGCAAGGAAAGCCTACATTTGGGAAATCTTGTCCAGCCAGCACTACTAACTTGCTCTAACATTCTGTGGTGTGCTAAAAGGAAGGAATACAAAGATCTCATAAAGAGCAAGTGTCAGCATAGCAGATAAGGTGAGATACCTGATGGAAAGTAAAGGAGGAAGGTCAAGAAAGGAAAGGGAAACATAGTCCTGTATTGGGGAATTCCTAGGGAAGCTTTTTGGTGAGATATGGAGGATGGGTTAGATAACACAGGAAATCAGTCTTACCAAAGAAGCATCCAGAACTCAACTGAAGAAGGAGTGGGGTCAAGGTCTACCAGGAATGTTGTTTTGAGGGCTGTAAATCATCATCAAAGGTCAGACACTGGACAATATCGTCATCCTGAAGAGACCTTAGGGAATTAACTATTGTGAGTTATATATTCTGTGCTCATTAATATGTGCATTTCTCTGGAAAGATGTGTGATTGGATAATTGAGAATTTAATTAAGTCCAGGAAATCCAGACTGGGCCTGTTGTGAAGTGGGAAGGACAAATTAGTGCCAGCTCCCAGGCCCTGTTCTGTGAATGTGACATGTCACATGTATGAATAAAAGGTTAACTAGGTTTCCTACATAAGATGCACTGTTTTAGACTTTGTATATTTAGGGGGATTCTAGGAATATAAAGAATGTGAGGTAATCCTATATATTGATGAACTATCTAGATCATTATTTAGGTCAGATTTATTCAAGATAATGAAATACCTAGATAGCAATGCAATGCCTCAAGGCCATCTTTGAATAAATTTCTAAGAGGGGAGGTGGAGAAAAGATGGCAGCATGAGTAGTGTGGCAGAAATCTCCTCCAAAAACCACATATATTTTGAAAATACAGCAATACAACTATTCCTAAAAGAGTGACCAGAAGTAACAGTACACCAGCCAGTCTACATCTGGGAGAAGTCAACAGCTCACGGAAAAGGGTAAGGTAAAAAACCATGACCTGGTGGGACCCAAGCATCCCCTCACCCCAGCTCACCAGCGGGAGGAAAAGAATCAGAGCGGGGAGGGAGTGGAAGCACAGGGCTGCTAACTACCCAGCCCTAGAAATCTACCCCAGGAGCACAGACCCACATTGCATGGTGCTCTGGAGATTAGAGGGGCTGAAAAGCAAAGTCTGGGACTAAGACTGCAAACATGTTCCCACAGCTAGCTGCCCTGGGACAAAAGAAAAGCAGGCACTTTAAAAGAATTCTCAACAGTCAGAAGGCTGTTAAAGGGGCAAGGGTTTAGGAAAAGGAACAGGTGGACAAAATCATCCTGGCACACTCAGCCCAGCATGCTGGGAACTTTCAGGAGCTTCAGGTGCCCTGTTCCCCAGGTTGGCAATGCAGTCCTGAGGCCCCTCACCATGATAAGCAGTCTGCTGCTCCTTCCTCCCTGCCAGCACCTGCGCATAAACCTGCTGTCCCTGCCATTGCTGCAGACCAGCCAGAGGGTAGCCGTGCCTACAGCAACTATACAGCTTAATGAAGAGGCTTCTCCCTGCATGTGGCTAACCGGCCCAGACCCAGAGGCTGCTCCCTATGCGCAGTTAACTGGCACAGAGAGGGGAGACAGATTCTGAGACCGAGAAACATGAAGGAGCTTTGTTCTCACTGCAGAACCCATGCTGCTCGCCTGCAACCCTGCCATCACTCTAGGCCATTCTGAGGGCCACCCTGCCCATGGCAGTTTAGGGGATTAACCCAGAGGCTGATCCCTGTGTGCAGTTAACGTGCACAAACAGTGGAGACAGGCACGACAACTGGCAAGCAGGAAGGGACTTTGTCCTCCCAGTGAACCCACACCACTCTACTGCAATCACTCCCATCACTTCAGAACTATGAAAAGGCAGAAGAACTTGGTTCAATCCAAAATTCCTCAAACACCAGAAAGAGGGCTCAGTGAGACTGAAATACCAATCTTCCTGAAAACCAATTCAAAATAAAGTCATAAGCATGCCAATGGAGCTACAGAAAAATATTCAAGAGCTAAGGGATGAATTCAGGAGGGAGATAACCGAAATGAAACAAACAATGGAGAGATTTAAAAGAAGATTAGGTGAGGTGGAGGAGACAGTAAATGGAATAGAAATCAGAGAAAAGGAATACAGAGAAGCTGAGGCAGAGAAAGAAAAAAGGATTCTAGGAATGAAAGAATTTTAAGAGAACTGTGTGACCAATCCAAATGGAACAATATTCACATTATAGGGGTACCAGAAGAAGAAGAGAGAGGAAAAGTGATGGAAAGTGTTTTTGAAGAAATAATTGCTGAAAACGTCTCCAATCTGTGGAAGGATACTCTCTCAGGCCATGAAAGTCCACACATCTCCCAACATAAGGGACCCAAGGAGGACAACACCAAGACATATAATAATTAAAATGGTAAAGATCAGGGACAAGAAAAGAGTATTAAAAGCAGTCACAGAGAGAAAAAAGATCACCTACAAAGGAAAATCCATCAAGCTATCATTCGACTTTTCAGCAGAAACCTTTCAAGCCAGAAGGGAGTGACATGATATATTCAATACAATGAAACAGAAGGGTGTGGAAAAAAGAATACTCTACCGAGCAAGATTATCATTTAAATTTGAGGGAGGGATTAAACAATTCCTATAGAAGCAAAAGTTGAGGGAATTTACCTCCCACAAACCATCTCTATAGTGCATTTTAAAGGAACTGTTCTAGATGGAAGTG